TACTATAATATGGATCTTGAATGCTTTCCAAAGGTATTTATGCTAAGCTTGATCCCTGGGGTGGTGTTGGGAGGCAGGGTCAAGTGGAAGAAAGTTGGGCAAATGGAGGTGGCCCTTGCAGAGGATATGGGGACCCCATGGAGTCCCCCGCTTCCTGTGTACCTAAGATAAAAGTTTAATAAAAGTTTATCCCACCATGTACTCCCTACCTTGATGTTCAGCCTTATCACCAAAAGCCCCAAAGCAACAAGCCCAATACACCATGGACTGCAGCCTTTGAAACCATAAGCCTAAAAAGCTTTTCTTCCTTTTAAGTTGATTATCTCAGGCATTACGCTGCAGTGACCAAAGTTATGGTTTGTTTTCCTGTTATCTAATTTCCTGCCTCATCTGATTACCATTTAGCCTTGATGTTTGAATGGTCACAACAGATTTAGAGGGCTCCATCTTGCCCAATCAGAATTATCAGCAAAAGCTTACACTATAATTAAAGGCAAACTATCATTTTTCAGAGTGAGAGAAGGTACACTGAAAGGGGCAGAGGTATGGAGGCAGAGATTATCGGCTCCTGTCTTGGTCCCTTCTGTCCTTCCACCCAAGTCCATCTGCCCATTCTCACACTTCAAAAAGTTGACTTGACGGTCAAATGGCTTAGTGGTGGACCCCCTGTAAACTTTGTGGAGAGCCTAGGCCCCCAGGACTGCAGCCTTCATCACTCAAAGCCTCAGCGGCATAGGGTTGATTCTCAAAACCTCTCTAATCCTACTCCTCCCTCTTCAAGACTGATGCAGATCAACAGATTAGCAGCTGCCAAGTTTCCTCAATCACTTTGTGAAGATAAACAGGGTTTAAGTCCTGTCCTGCACTAAGATGGTCTTCGAGGATGCCTGTCCATCACCTGCAAGGTCTCCAAGTCTTACGGAAGTCCTCTCTTTCCTCAAGCCAATAACGCTCCTTCACCACTGGGTGAGTAGACAGACTTGGGTCTGGTAACAAAGTACAGGGTGACAAACAAAGGTAAGCCTTTCTGACTCCTCCAAAGTTTTTAGTAGATGAGCACTGTCAACCCTAGGAAGAAAAACAGGAGAGAGAGAGGATAGGAGCTTCCCTCTCCCTCCAGGCACAGCCTCATCTCCCAAGCTGGACCTCCCTCTGGACTTCAGTCCTGACCCAATCTTCCAGACATTCCTGGTGAGCTTTCATTTAAATCTTTCCTTGAAGTTGTGCTGGTTTTTCATTTTTAAAGGGCCTGGACTGGCCTTTCTCTGCAGACCCAGGGTCCAGGTGTCACTAGCCACTGAGTCACCAGGCAGCCTGGATTCCCACATTCGTAAAATGAAACTAATAATCCCCACTCCCTACCTTCTTCACTGTAGTACTTCTAGGGTTATCTAGACAAATGGAAAATGCTTAGAAAGTGAGTAATTTGAGAGAAGAAAGACTAAAATTATTAATCCACTGAAGCAAAACCAAGAAACATTGGACATCTACTGTCCTACGCAAAGGAGGAGGCAGCTGTTTTTGAAGTTCATGAGGCACACAAAAGAGATCAGCATTTCCTGGGGCAGTGAGATGCTCGGAGGAGGATCCCGAGGAGCATGTCGTGTTGGGGACAGTGTGCTTCCAACATCCCTTTCATCAGCACTCAGGGTACTGCATGAGGCCCAGGTGAGGACAGAGGGGGCCCCGGTGTGCCGAAAGGAGAGAACAAACTCCCACAGATCCCTGTCTCCAAGCGTCGGATCCCCAGGAGTCACTGAGGCATCTGATAGTGACCTCAGGCTAGAGAAGCAAGTGGGGAGACACCCCCATTGTAAGCAGGGTCACCAGTGCTCCCTCTCTGTGCTTTTCTCTGAATGTGAGGTCCGAACAGGCTGAGCAAGAATATCTAAAATCAGCCACTGCCCATCACCCCATCTCCCTGCTGTGGGAAGTGCCCATCGCCGGGCGTGTGCAAAGGTTCTTGTGCAGGGCACCACAGGGGCTTTCCCTTCACTTGGGGTTTAGCACAGGGGCTTTCCCTTCACTTGGGGTTTAGCGCCACAGTGTCCAACCCAGAAAAGCCCACCACACACACACACACACACACACACACACACACACACACACGCACGATTTCCCTATGACAGCAAATACATGAGCAGAAAAAATACAAACAGGGAATTTCACCTTTAAGTACTTGAACTTAAAATTCTTCTGAACACACACTAAAACATGAAGGGAAATAATTCCTTAACACAGTGAGGTTTGCAAGGAGTCGCCTCTGCGAACACTTTATAAGACGGAGGAGAAGAGGTGGGCCTCCTCGAGGAGACACGGGGAAGCCACGGTCTCAGGACAGCAACACGGAGCCGCAGCGGATGGGGGGCTGCGGGGCGCGGGAGGCGCAGTGCTCCCACATCTCCCCGGAGAAGCCAAGACGCTCAAATCCTGCCCACGGTTGTCCCACTTCAAAGACTGGGCACATTCTGAGCCCAGAGCCAAATCTTTGGTTCTACACAAGGAAGTTTCTTTTTGATCAGACTCTTATTAACCGCCCGCTCGTGATGTGATCTTGTTCCGGATGAGCTGTCCAAAAGTCCACCAAGGCGAAGCTCACGGCCAGTGAGCTACGGGCCTGGAAGGCAGTGAGAGGAGGGCGCCGGTCAGGAGGGAGGAAGACAGCGGGCAGGAGGCGGCAGGCAGAGCCCGGTGCGCAGCTCTGCAGCAGTTCCCTAAATCCTGAGCTGCTCAGCCTGCTCCCAGCACCCGGCTCCCTCTCTGCCTGCTCTCCCTCGAAGAGCTGCCCCTGTCTCCTCAACAAGGGGAAGCCTTCAGGCTGCTCAGCACCTCAAGGGTCTTCACTCCCATGAACCTTAAAATTTGTTTTTAAATAGTAAGAAGAAGGATGCAATTAGCATGAAGTATAATAGGAATTTCTAAGCTTAGTACAATTTGAGCCCAGAAAAAAAAAAAAAAAAAATACTGCTTCTATAACAACTAGCGTATGTGCGAACTTAATAGCATCACTGAACTGTTCCTTGGACCGATGTCCCCAGGTGAGCTCAGTAATCACCGCAGGGGCGCGCACACAGTCCTCCACACCGCAGAGGCATCACACACGGGGCCTCTGAGTAGCAGAGCAACTCCCCGACAGGGGAAACTGGGCATCACTTCCGGGGAGGAACAGCCTGCCGTTGGAATCTGTCTCTTCCTCTGCTGGCCCCAGCGACGGGTGTGCAAGGCCATTCGGAGTGCAAACTTGCTCACCCCTCCCGTAACGTCTTACCCAAAGGTTCCATCACTATCTTGGTGCCCACTCTGGACAATGACAGTATCGGTTTAGGTGTAAGAAAGGAACGCACCCCGTGTTGTGAAATAAATGCTCAGAAGGAAGTTGGAAGTAAAGGTTGTGTTCATCATTCACCCGCGAACTGCCCAGGGAATCACCTGCGCCGTTTATCAAAACTCACCGCGGCTCTGTTTGTCTCTTATTTCTGAATTCCCAGCACAGTACAAGTAAACCCAAGACCCCTATGTTGGCAAGAGGCCTCCCTGCCCAGTGGACCCCAGCACACATTTCTGGTGCGCCGGCATTCCATCCCCACCTTTCTTCACCACGCCCCCATAGTGTGTATCTTCAGGAAAACGACCTCTGCGCCCAGCTGCTTTTCAGGCGCTCTAGGGCACTCAAGCGCGCATGCGCAGCAGAGCTTAAGACGCTCCTGCCAGGCAATTCCAGGGTCCTATGCAAACTATTCTAGAACAGCCTTGCTGCGAAACGAGACACCCAGCGCCGCCCCCACACCTTCCCAGACCTCGGAACCAGCTGATCACACATTTCCAATGGCACCGCTCACAGAAGAGCGAGGAAGCTGGACGTCATACAAACGCTATGAATAGCAACCAGGAGACAGGGAACGTCTCATTACCGGGTCACACTGGATTAATATGTTACTTTATTTAGGTTCTCTGCAAAACTGAAAACCAGCGGGCTCTAAGCCCTTCCTGACAAGAGCCTTTCCATTCTTCCCGGGAGGGGCTTCTGACTTCCTCCACCGCAACCTTGGTCTGCTGATGTGAGGCAGAAACCAAGATGCCAGAGTCTTTAATCAGAGCATCACCTAAATCCAGCTGGGAGGGGACATTTCCGGAAGAATGATGCCTACGTTTCCAGCAGCAGAGCTATGATGCATTTAGCAGGTCCTAGGATACAGCCTAAGGTACAGGGGCTGCAGATAAATATCTGCCAGTGTAACACAATAGAAAGGAAGGCGTCTCATATTCATTGCTAAGGGCTTCTCACTGACCCTATACTGAGGGTGATTATAATGTGATAGGTTTGTTTTGGGAATCCCACTCTTACAGTCCAAAATTTGAGGTACTTTTTGAGAATTACTACCAGTTAGTTAGTCAGTGAAAGATGCATTGATTGTGTCTTTGATGTATAAATAAATAAATAATTTCCTGCTTTTTAATCAGAGCTCACTAGCTTAAAAATACTAGGCTGACGTTACAAGACATCTTTTATTGATTGGCTTCTGCTTTTAATGGTTTTAAGCTATTATCTTCAGTCTCATCCGTTGGATGAAATATTTCTACCACTAAGATTATTCCAATGGATATTGACAAGCAAACCCAGAACTCCTTCTAGAAGTGTGGGTGACGTAACCTTGTTGGAATATTTTACAGCCCCCCACATGGAACACAGTGATCGGAAGGAGACATCAAATTCTGGAGTCTGACCAAGAGCAGCCCCAACAGTTTACTGTCATGTGTCTTGGGAAACTACAGAGATAACTTTTAGACAGCTTTTAATCTTAGTGCCAGATCATATTTGTATAAATTTGATAGATGTTGTTATTTCTTTACCATAAAAGGTAAGACAAGTCTATTTCAGTTGTCCTTAGAATAGGAAAATCTAGTCTCTCCTGTCATGTACTCAATTTTGATATCATTGCTAGAATGCAGGGATTCAGGGCAATGTATGCACCACGGGCTTTTAGCCAAGAAGTACTTACGCCATGATGCCGGAGAGGTGAAACATCTCTGCTGTTATGTAGGACAAATAGCTGTACAGGAAGACAAAGAGTGGCTCGATCACACGAATATTATGTGTGAAGCGTGTGGTAAAGGCCGCTATAAAGCCCAGGAAGATGCCGATCAGCACCCCACCAATTCCTACAATGAAGAAATTAGCAATCCCCGCGAACACGTCAATGATCTCGATGGTTTTCATCTGGCAGAAGGACTTGAACAAGTTGTACAGGACCTGTGGGCGAGAGAAGCACATTGTCAAGCCCCTGCGATTTCCCACTTCCACCTGGGCACGATGGAGCGACCTGGCTTTTCCTTTCTAAAGAGGACATTTCTTTGGGGGATGCCTGTGGGTGACATGTGGCAGTTATTATGCAGTTGTCATTTATTTTAATATTGTGACTTTAAACTAAAAAGCTCTGATGAAAGTGAAACTATTTCTGAAAGTAACAGGGAGAGTTCAAGGTGATTAGCTTAGTCGCAACACTATTTTTCCAGATGGCACCTGAAAAATTTATGAACTATTTTATTGCCATCTAACACATATTGCTCAAATTACCATTGCTTGGAAGCTGTGTGTCACAGAGGTTAGCAGAGCTCCTGTGGATGTATTTACATGGTCCCATCATCCTGTCACAGGGTCACATGGTGGAAGGGAACACCTGAAGACGCCTTCTGCCCTGGTCCTCCATTGCTGTAGCATTTCCATGTCCTTCTTTCACATACCTGCTGTGTGACAGGAGCTCTGAAGGGACTGTCTTAAAACAAAGAAGCAGTGTGTGTGTGTGTGTGTGTGTGTGTGTGTGCGCGCGCACATGCGTGCAATAATTTCACACGTATTTTATGCCTTTAAAGTAAGATGATGCTGTTGACTTTTCACACAGTCCTGGTTTAACCGGAGATTAGAGAACATGAGCTCAGGTCCTCCACCCACGCCTGCTGGGCAGTAGGCTTCCAGCCTGCCTTAAGCCCTACCAGTCTGTCTTTCCACAAAACCAGCAAGTCAAGTACAAGGCAGGTCTTTTCACCACGCTATTTACAACTGTGGGAGCATCTAGAGCTTCAGAGAGAGGGCACTGGAGACAAGGACACTGGAGTCGAGGGCTGAAGAAGTCAAAATTAATCCAGTATGTCCAAGGTCAAATGTCCAAATTGGTCCCATCTGACCTGAGTCAAACGGTCCAGAATGTCAGAGGTGATGCCAGAGCGCAGCCTCCTGGCCTGGTTCCAGCGAGTCAGGCTCCTCCTGTGCCCAGCCGTGTCCTGGCAAAGGCCCCTTCCCTCTTTCTCTGATCACTTGTGGTCATGTTTATAACCTCCACATGACAGGTCTGGCGTAGTTTTGGATCTTTTCTTTTGGATTATAAACTCCTCGGGGTCAACCAACACCTCAATTTGATTTATCTCTTCCATGTAGCCTGGTATATAACAACAGATGTGTTTGTTTTGAAAGAGGAGTGAACATTTCCTTACAAAGCAGTGGGCATTTCCTTTCTCCTAATTACTATCGGATCACTTAAGAGCGAGTGGAACCCTACCGCTGAGCAATGACCCTGGAGAACAAAAGCGGGGCTCCCCCTGAGGAATGAGCTCTTTCGGAGGCATCCATCCCCACTGGCCAAGCAGGAAGAAACAGCATCCAGATGCTGCTCTTCCTCTCTCTGCCAGCGCTGGCTGCAGGACCAGAGCAGCAGGACCTGGCTGCTTCCCCGAAGAGGATCGAAGGTGTGCTATGCATACCTCTGCCTCCAACCTGTCGAAGCCAAGGGCGACAGTCACAAGCTCCTCCAAAGCGAGAACAGAGAGGGCTCCCAGCACCTTTTGGAATGGAGCACTTCCATTTCCATGCCAACAGCCCTTCCTGGCCCACTTGTTTTTTTTTGTTTTTTTTTTTTTGTTTGTTTTTTTTCTCCTGTACCGGGAACCGAACTCACGACCTTGCGCTTGCCAGGCAGGTGCTTTGCCGCTGAGCTAAATCCCCAGCCCCTCCTGGCCCACTTGGCATTCGGTTCCCAGGCCCCATGGCTCTGCCCTCGCCTCCCCCAGCCCACACCACCCTCTTTCTTCTCCTCTTTTCTAACCACAGCACCAACAAGACTTACTTCCTTTAGATGTTGCCATTCCAGTTGCCAATCCCCAAATGAAAATCGTAGGCTGCCTGACTTTTGCAAGGCCAGAAAGTCTCGACGCACCTGCCGCACCTTTTTCTTTTACTTTTGCTGCTTTCCAGCATCCTGGGAAGTCAGGGGCAGGGCTCACTACTTCTGCTCAGAATACCCTATTTATTCATTCCAGCCTGGGGATTTCCTTCCTGTCATTTCAGAAACCCAGCCCGACGTGCAGGGAAACCACTTGTCTTCTCAGGGGGAAAGCTGAAACCAAAATGTAGTTTCCCCCAGGTCCCCTTCTGGACTCCTATGGTCCTCATGAAACCCTCTCCTCTGACCCCATAGATTGGCTCCCAAACCAATCAGTGCTGTGTGAGATGGACAGACTGGCTTGTGTGGGTGGTGCTATCTGCAGAGTGAGGATCTTATTTCCCCAACCATGCTTGCGATCCTCCTCCTCTTCCGCCAGCACAGAGCCCAGTGACTCCTCCTCCTTCACTCCTGCCCCGACCCAAGCTATCTTTCTGGCTGACCTGGCCTCCAAGGGAAGCTCAGGGCTCCACCCACGGAAGTGGCATTGCAGAGGGTCACAAGCTCATAGTCCTTCCAAAACTATGCTCCTGGTGACTCAATCCACCCAAGCAGTCAAAGGGCCATTCTATTTTAAATTTCATACTAGAGATGCAGGGCAGGTCCAGTGCCTTCCGCACACTGGGCAGAAACCTGGGCTGCTGGGCCTACTGCCTAAGAGCCCACACCATCACAGAGGAAGTGCTCAGGTGGGGACGCTGCCATGACAACTGCAAAGCCTTCCACAACCTCTACCCCATCTCTGCCTAACCTGATCCCAAGGGATGAGTCCTAGGTAAAAGTCCCGAAGTTACAACTGGCCGTAAGCCCACAGGCAGCTCATTCCAGGGAAACCCTTCCCTTTTATTCAAGGGAATCTATGCGGCAAAGAGCTCATTTATGCATCCACATTTATCTAAATATATATGCTGTACATGGACAAAAATCTGCCCTCAGGGAGTCTGTGGATAGAGGACCTCCACTGGGCGCTTGTATACTTGGGGGATTGCAATTCCAGTGATCCATCTACCAAATTCCCTAATCCGACAGATGAGCACCTTTAACCCTGTCACATGGCCAAAAGTCTCTTTGTTATAACTGTTTCAAATGTAAATACAGAACATACATAAAATTAGAAGAAATTGTGTGTTTGAAATGTTGACTTAAAATGTGCAGTAATTCAGAGAAGCCATGTACAGCAAAGGTGCAAACTGAGCACATGCAGCGTCTCAGGAGAATCGCTCTTCCGGAATTCGCACTCACATTGAGGTTACTCTTTCTCCTATGCATCAAAAAGCACGATCAGATTCGTTCAGTGAGCTTTAGGTCTGCATTGCTGTTTGTGAAATCAAAGTTAAATTCTAGGCGGTCACACATACTCCACGTCCTGAAGTTAAAAGCACGCTGCAGCCACAATTGCAGTCCATCTGAGCTTCTGTCTAGAGGGCCAGCTCTCCCTCCCCCAGCCTAGATATGTGGAGACAAAAAAGACTCAAGGAAATCTTTACGTCTTCTTGGAATTGTATTAGAATCCTCAATTCTTGCATTAACAGGTCCTAAGAATGATACTGGAAATTACCACGTGAACCTAAGTGCTTCGGGTCATTTGATCTGCGATTTGTATATTATCAGTCTCTCTTGCTTTAAGATTCTTTTACGCTAGGCTTTATTCCCTTTCACCTTTCTAGCTCTAAATTTAATTTATCATGATCTGGAAATGGGGTGACTTGCTCAAAGATGACACTTTCTGTTTGTTTGTTTGTTTTTTTTTCTAGTTTGTTTTCCGGTACCAGGAATCGAACTCATGACCTTGCGCTTGCCAGGCAGGCACTGTGCCACTGAGTTAAATCCCCAGGCCCAAAGATGACACTTTCAACACCACTTTCCTCTCGACTCCCCGGCACCCTTCTATGTGCATTGTTTCAGATGCAGGCATCGTGACACATATGTTTAAAAGCTCTTCCTGATGGGCTTGGTGGCACATGCCTGTAATCCCAGCATTCGGGAGGCTGAGGCAGGAGGATTGTTGTAAGTTTGAGACCAGCCTGGGCTACAAAGTGAGCTCAAGGCCAGTCTGAACTGCATAGCAAGACCTTGTCTCAAAAGACAAATAAATAAATAAAATAACAGCTCTTCCTGTCTGTGACTTTCTCAAACATCTCCTAAGGATAAGACTAATAAATGAAACAAAGAACCTCCCACAAAACATCTCTACCTCTATTTTTTAAGGGTGTCTGACTAGAAGGCAAAGTTGTCATTTTTTATACATTGTTGTATTCCTAACATATATTTGGTTCAGTACAGTATTCAGCCAAAGCAGTGAGAGAAACGTCCGGGAGCATATTCACTGACATTAGGGAGGCAAACACCTGGCCACACCAGCCCCCTGTGCATCGGGGATTGAGGGTACAGCTGCTTTCAACCCTGAGTGTTCAACTTATCAAGGAAAACTCCTATGAAACCTTCACAGCTGTCAGGACTCAACGGCGTCTGGCCATGGACGTGAACGCTGCTGTGCCCTCTCTCTGCCCTTGCCCTCCTTCCCCCGGCTCTGGAACCAGGAGCTCTTGGCTTGGCCCATGCCTGCCTCAGGCCAGCCCCCTTTCTCATCCATCCAGCCACAGCAGACAGCGGACAGCGTTGTGCCCATCCTAGGACCTGCCTCCGGGTCGCCCGCCTCCTTTACACCTTCTCAGCAGTGACAGGGCCAGACCCTTTCCTCAAATCTGACTCAGTACAAACTCAAGATGGGCCACTGAGCCCCACGAATGAGACATGTCTAAGAGGCAGGGTGCAGTGTAAACAGTGAGCCCTTCCAAAACAGGCTGGCTCCCACAGCTCCCCTGAAGGACTGCAAGAAAGTGATCTTTCTGCTGGGTAAAAAGTCCCTTTTACCCTAAATCATTTCATTCTGAGAATTCCACAGGCTCCTTCAACAAGGGCAAAATCTGCATATCAAACATAAATCACAATGGAAAACTTGATGCCTGAGGAAGTTAGAATGAGTTAGAAAATGTCTTCACCATTATAGCAGTTAAAATTTAATACTGAAGGTTAATGACTAATCACTGTCAATAAATAATAGAATATATGAAGTGGATTCAGTGAGTTGAGTGAGTTAACTCAGCTGCCTTAAAATATGTCTTTCTGTCTGTTTTAAAAGTTATGATCAATAAATTGTCAATAAATTATTTTGTACATAATAATGTCCTCAGGAAGTTAATGGACATGCTTAGAGATGATATTTTATGTAGTTCAAGAATCCGCCTTTACAGTAGAGCACAGCTCACAGAAGAGTGTAAGTTTCTGTGTAAACTCTTAAATGAGCCAGAAATAACATAATGGTAGTAGCAAATGGAGAGGCATTAAAAATTAAGGTACTCAAGCACTTTACTTTTTCTGCCGCGGTTTTCCTATCTGCAAAACGGGAAGACCACCAGCTTCACAGGATGTCCTCAGGAGCTGAGCCGAGGGAAAGTCACAAAGGCTGGGGGCTGTCACTGGACAGTGTCAGGGACTGGCTCCTCCCTCCAGGACCCCAAATGTCCCATCCAGGGGATGGGGCACTGTCGCAGGTCTGGGGGTGACCAGAGACACTTCCTCACCCCTCCCTCCACCTCCGCAAGGGTGGAGATAGATTCTCCCAACATTAAAATCATAATAGCCTCTGACTCTGATTATGTGTCAATTAAAAGGGAATTAACAATCATTTGTGTTTTCTAAATGAACAGCCCCTTATGGGAAAACAACGAGGACCAGAAATGTGTACGTTGAGTAGCACCAGAAAATGAGTACACGACAAAAGAGAAATGTCTCCAAGATCATTAACATAACAAGCAAACCTCAGCGGACGCTGGGAAGGACACTTGGTAGTTAGCAGCATTTCACAGCTTGCTACACACATCACCGGAGGTGAGGTCACAAAACACGATGAGTATTCAAATTTTTAAAAAGTTGATTACAGTAAAAGGGACATTGCTATTAACACCCCTTAGAATACTAAAAATATTCCCCCTAGTTTTGCCTAATTTATCCCATTGTTCTCGGCCGTGTGTCCCTTACTGAAATAAATTATTTTTTAAAGTTTAAACACCGTGTCTTTTAATCACCCCTGGTGTACTGACAGCATCTCAGGCAGATCTCTGCACTCTGCAGTCTTTAACATCATTATCAAAGACTGCAGCGTCTGAAATTGCAGAGACCTTATCAAGATCAAGCTCCTGCTGCACAATCAGAGCCGGGCATGAAGGGACCAGCCAAGGACCTTCCTGGGCCCAGGGCAAAACAGAAATGAGAGGTCAGTTTTATGATAAGAAATAAAGGTAAGTAATTAATAAAAAATGCATGAAGAGCTTCTCGACAGCAACCTCAGAACATTAGAGCGAGTGAGGGCTATGATGTTGTGAAGAAGACATGTGATCTGCCCTCTGCCTCCTTGAACACAACTTCTAAAATCCTTGGAATCTTGGAAGTGGCAGGTGTGTGCTAACAGTGGATGGCGGGCAGCCTAGGTGTAGCTTTGGGATGGAGGAGGTCCCTGGAAAGATCACAGCGGAACTCAGGGTTGGAACATTTAGGCTCATCCTCTAGCAAGGGGAGAAGGCTTGAAGGTCAGGTTAATCACCAGCTGCCAATGACGTGAGTGGTTGTGGCCCTGCAAGGATAACTCCAGAAATACTCCAAAGATCCAGGTTCGGAGAATGTTTGTTAGCTGAATGCACCGAGGTTCCCAGAGGCTTCCGGCTGGCCCATTCCTGCCTGCCTTGCTGAACGGCTCTCTCTGCATTTGTGCCCTTTCTACTGTCCTTATATTGAACCCGGAAATGGAAGGAAGCATTTCTCTAGGTCGGAGCTTCTCTATTGAGGAGGCAGCTATGGGAAAGCCAGTGTGTGGCCTGTGGGTCACAAGCACAGGTGAAGTGACCTGTGTGGGGTTGGCACGGCAGGGGCTGCCCGAGGTCTGGGCCCTCAGCTGCCGGATCTGACACTGCCTCCCATGACAGACAGCACCAGAACTGAACAAGATGAGGTGACCCCAGCTCGAGGGCTGGCTTGCGGAGTGGGCAACACCCCTGCACCTGGTGTCACACCGTGCGGTGACAGTACAGGGGCAGAGAGTGAGTTTGGTTGGAATTCTAGCTCTCTGTCCTTGGAGGAACCCTTCTAAGGCTTGGTGGCCCTGTGTGTCACATGGGTCCACGGAGAACATGTCACTCACCACTGTGACTGCATCATTCAGCAAAGACTCTCCAAAGACCAGGATGTAGAGCTGCTCGTTGACGTGAATGTTCTCAAAGACAGCCAGCACGGCCACCGGGTCCACAGCAGAGATCAGGCTGCCGAAGAGCAGGTTCTGCAGCAGGGTGATGTCGCGGAGGCCGAAGGCTTCGATCTGGCAGATGCCAAACAAAGACACCCCGATGCCGATGGAGTTCCAGAGGGTCCCCACCACCGCGTACCAGAAGATGGTGCCAATGTTCTCGAAGAACGGGCGGGTGGGCATGAAGTAGCCAGCATCCAGCACAATGGGAGGCAGGAGGTACAGGAAGAAGACATCCGTTTTCATGGCTGGTGGAGACTTCTCATCCACACCGAAGATGATCCCACCCAGCAGGAGTCCAACCATGATGAGCAGGCAGCTCTCAGGCACGATGGTGGGCAATTTGTGGTAGAGGTGGAAGCCTGTGAGAGAGCAATAGAGACATGGGATTGAGATTACACAGGAATTGTGTGCAAGGGACACTGGTCCTCCTGAGCAGATCCAAGGGGTCCAATTTCAAACTCTCAGATGGCTCCCTCAGACTATTCTCATGTACTTGTATATGTCCACCCAATGAGGACCAGGCACCAATTGGTCTTTAAACCACACTGAGAAGCTGTAGATACACAATGCCTCACAGCACAGCTTTTATTTTCTACACCTCCATTAAGTTTTTCTTAAACATTGGCCTTACAGGAATGGAATGCAGTTTTATATTTGACATAACTTAGTGATTTCCAAAATATTTTCAGATGTAACATTTCATTTATCCTTACAAAAATCCTACAGAACTAGCAAGGGAGTTATTTTCATACTTTTTAAAAGTTTAAGTGGCAGCTAAGGTTTCAAGACACCCAGGGTCTTATCAAGGTGGTTGGCCAGCCAATGTGTGGATTATTACTGTCATCTCCAGCATTCATAAAAACATGTCACTTATTCATTTCTAATTTCAAATTCTTTCATTTGGAGTACGGAATATGTGTGTTTTTGAGACGTGGGACCCTCCCAAGACAGCCAAGTCAGCTCATCAAGAGGTACCAAGGAGCAGATGCAAGTGCACCAGGATCTCCAGTCCCCAACAGTCCCGTCGGGGGGATGGAGCAGTGCATTTGTGACTTCTGTGACACCAGACAAAGTGGGACCAGGCCCCAGCCACAGCTGGAGTAACACAGATGAGGAAGAGACAGCATCCACACAGGCTGAAGAGACAGACAGGCATTGAACCGGACCCTCTAGGAAAGGAAGAGGTGGAGACACACATGTCTGCTGATTCGGCTGGAGCCAGGCAGAGCTTTAACTCAGAGAAGACCACAGGGGGGCCTGGCGGGAAGGTGGGCTGGACTCACACTGCTGGACAACCTGAAGAGGATCTATCGCCCTTGCAGAGAAAAGGAAGGCACCTGAAGACACCAGGTACCTGTTAGAATGAAACAGGATGTGATTTACATGCGTCCCCCCAACATTCAAAAGTGATGGCATTAAGAGGTGAAGCCTTTGAGGGGTGACCGCGCCAGGAGCTTTCTTCCTTATGAATGGAATGATGGCCTTTGAAAGAGAAGCTGCCAGGCGGGAGTGAGAGTCTGTTCCACAATGAAGAATTTTCAGAAGAGGTGGAGGTGTAACTCAGTGCAAAGGTCCTGGGTTCAATCCCCACCATGAGATAGATGGACAGACAGATGGATGGATGGACAGACGGACAGACACAGACTGAGACTCTTCTGCCAGCATCGGCCCATGTCCCTTCTACTTTCTGAGAACTCAGCAAGAAAATCCTCATCAAATACCAAACACCAGATCCTTGGCCTTGGACTTCCAGCCCCCTAAACTGTGAGAAAATAAACATCTCTCCAGGGTAAGTTACCCCAACTGAGCTGTCCTGTTTTAGAGCAAGGGTTAAGATAGACACGTGTCCGAATTACAGGATGGTGATACTATACAAAACGGTAGAATAAGTCTTTAGAAACTTCTCCTGACAGATGTTTCATAAAGAAATACCTACGACAAGGAGGAGTAAAGCCCCACCACTGAACACTGTCTTGGCTTCATCAGTACACTGTAATAATTGGAGGTATTTAAAGAATTCACTTCCAAATAAGAAGACAGACCCTCTGCACAAGGGGTAGCGTGTGGTCTCTCAGGGCCGGGGGCTGTAGGATTCATACCTCAGGCTGCAGCAGCAAGGAACATGGCTGTTCCTCGCCCAGGACCTCCGCCACTCCTGCCCTCATCCGTAACCAGAAGGAAAATGCCCCCTGCAGACACACCTCCGCCATCCGCCCCTCACCCCTTGGAATCTGTTACAGCCAGCATTCCAGGCGCCCAGGATCCACGCGCAGCCCCCTCCTTTCCTTTCAGGAACAGAGTCCCAGCCTCAGAGTCTCCGGGCATGGGCCTCCTCTGACCCCCGGCCTTGAGCAAAAAGCCCATCCTCCACTCTCCACCTGTGACAGTGGACAGCTTCCCAGCATGGCAAGACCTTGGGAATGCATCTCTGAGGCAAGAACAGGGACAGGGACAGGGCACGGCCTAGGTGAAGAGCTGGGAAGATCACCAGGACAGAGGATCAGGGTACAGCATTTACGGTGGTGCCTGCAGTGTCTCAGCTCCCCCAAGAACAGTTTCCTGTGCCTCCTCTCTAGGAAAAAGCAAGAGAAGACAGTTTAAAGAAATGTTCGGAGGCAGTGAGACAGGAGAGGCAGGAGGAAACCGGAAGAGGAGGAGGTGTTGGTGGACACTCCCACCTGCTCTTGGTGCCTTGATCTCCCATGACTGACCCAGCCCTGGGGACCCAATGCTCTCCCAAGGGTGCTGCCCCCACCCCACATAGCAAGGACCTTCGTATTCCTAAGAGTGGACGTGGGAAACCATGCATGGAGAAAGCAGGGAGCACAGGCTGCTTCCTGCACCCACCGCCTGCCTGCGCACACCTGAGTCTGGCCGGGAGCCAGCAGGAAACAGGAGAGGCAGGTGCAGCGTAGGAGGTGACTAGCGGAGGCCAGTGGGGCAGAGGGTGCAGGAAGGGGAGGAGCAGGGGCTGGGAGAGGAGTAGCCTCAGAAAGAACCGCAGCAACCCAGCGCATTCGCTCAGGACACTGCATCTCTCTTTGGAAATCTGTTCCCCTTTTATGAAGGCTGAGATCATTCAGAGTTCACCAGAGTGACACACTGTCTCTTTCTCTGTCTCTGTCTCCCTCTCTCTTTCTCTCTCTCTCTCTTTTTTTCTATTGTACTGATCATTGAACCCAGGGCATTTGCACTGAACTACATCCTCAACCTTTTTACATTTTTTACTGCTAGAGAGGGTCTCACTAAATCACTAAATTACATAGGTCAGGCTTGAATTTTTGATCTACCTGCCTCAGCTGCCCAGAGTGCTGAGATTACAGGTGTGTGCCACCACACCCCTTTCCTGAGCTAAGAGGACGTTCGTCATGGACCATTCCCAGTGGCTCCTTGGCAAGAAGAGATTAAGCGAAGGGTGGTCCCTGTTCCGTGCTCTCTGGCAAACAGAGGCAGAGCAGCTGGCCCACACTGTGACTCTGCCGGAGAACCAGCCTCAGGCATGAACGTCTACTCTCCTCTGAGCTGTGGATCGAATAGTTCTCATCTGCAAGGTGATTAGTGAAAACAGACAAGGCTTCTTAATCCCGCATTCACAGAATAAAACAAACACATCACTGATCACAACATACATGTGCTCGGGGGCTCCTCCCGGTGTTTCTTGCAGGGGAAATGAACTTGAACAGACAGACTGTGCCTTCCCAAGCCACGGTCTCTTGGGATATTACCATGTATCATGGAAAAGTTATCGGGGAAAGAAAATCAAATGAAGGTTTTGATGGTTTTTACCAAGCCGAACACAAAGTACTGCGGGTATAGGCTACTGTGTAATCTGGATATTGGCTGACAGGGTCTGAGCAGGGCCAGCTGGTACATATCTTCACATCTCACTGGCCCTTTACTGTGCCCAAGCACCCACAGATAAAAACAAAATCAGTGAGTGTGGTCGTCATTCCGGACATAGAAACTAGCACCTCACACAATTTCATATGTCACAAAACATTCTTCACATTGGATTTTATTATTTGGAAATGTGGAAGCCACACGTAGTCCACAGGCCCCAAGGAGCCAACCGTAGGCGTGTCTGGGCCCTGAGATCAAGTGGGACCTACCCCTGGCTATTCCCTTCTTGTGTTTCCTGCCAATTTCTGTTTACCATATTTGGGACATGGCACTTTGTGTCATTCAATTTTTATTACTAGTGCATAAAAGTCTGTCAGAGTGAGTGCTTTAAGGATTTATTATCATAATGTACTTGCAATAGAAATTCACTTAGTGGGAAGGATAACAAGATTATATAAAACATACAATGAAGATTTTCCTCTCTTGGGGTGAATCTGTTTTAATTCTGTCTGCATACATGTTTAAATTAGCTGAGTCTGAAAGCTGAAGATCTACATGTAACTAAGCACTACACGATGAATTCAGTTCATTTTCTCATTCTATTGACCATGACCTATTTGTCAAATTCTGGGGCAGGAGGAGAGAGCAGCAGATAGCGGGACCCACGGAAGAGCAACAATGTAAAAGTCACAATCAGAAACTGCCACCACCAAAAATACAAAGTAAGTTTGAACTACAACAACAAAACCTGAAGACAAAACCCCACAGTCATCATGGGCACGGACGGGGAGAGGAAAGAGGCAGGGCGGGGGAGGACGCCTCAGGACGGTTGTACTGCTCCAGGTGAGGACAGACACACACACCGGTGTCCATGTTCTGGATTCTTTATTTACTCTGTTCTACATCTTAAAGGGGCTTGAAGAAAAAATATTGACTTCGATTGGATCAACAAATATTTGCCAAGCTCAGGTTAAGTACAGGGCAAGTACCTACGGGTACCAAGCAAGCACCAAGCAGTGACCACAGCTACCTGGCCCGGCTCGCTCGGGAAACCCTGTACTTACAGTCAGGCGCAGTGCAAAGTAAATCGTGCCTCTTTGGCTGGGAAAAAGCCAGGGGAATATTCACAGAATATACTAAACTTACTTTTAATTACTAGGAAGAACAGACAGGTTCAACCACACCTAAAAATGCTGATTTTTTTTTAATGCATCTCAGTGAACACAGCAACCAAATAGGTTAAAAAATAGAAGAGTAATGAGCAACAGGTAGCCAGAGGGGAACACAGAGAAAAGTGTAAGAAGCACCATTCTAATCAGAGAGGCCATCGCCCTGCAGAACTCAAGGAGACAGAAGATGGAGAAGCAAGTGATTTCTGAAAACTGAATCATATTGAGTAAGTAATGGAAACACGTAAGAAATAAGCAGATAAGTAATACATAAAATAGAGTTCAGTAAATAAAGCAGAAATAACTGGCCTATGCCCAAAACACTGCCCTGCGAGTATAAATTTATCTTA